AAAATAAAGCTGGACTTAAGATTGTCAAAAAATAATAATAAAGTTTACAGATTGGAAACTGGACTGTGTTGGAATATTGAGGTTCGAAAAACCCTAAATAAAAAAATAGGGGAAAAAGGTGAAGACTTTGTTTAATGGAGAGTGCCACCTTTTGACAAAAAGTTGAGCTCAAACAAGGGAAAGCATCCTGTTTCTGAATGAACTTGTGTGGATATAATATTAAAGAAATATTGAAACAAAGTAAGAATCTTAGAAAGTGAAAGCAGAACTAGAATAAAGAAAAAAGCAAGGAAAGACTGACTGTGGGATTGATTGATGTTTTTGGTAGAGACCCTGGGCTGGAACAATTGAGAACTTTAGAAAATTGAAAGAAGAAAGAAGGAAAGTAAAAGTGTTTTTTTTTTGTGGACTTTAACGATCATAAAATACAAGAGTGTAACGATGATATCTCTTCGGGAATTAAAAATGGAATTTAAAAATATGAGAGAATTGCTACAGGAAAGAGGCGAATCACTTTGCTCTGTGTTAGAAAAAATGGAAATGGTGATTGAAGAACAAGAGGAAAGAGCTTCAGAGGAGGAGGAGTCGACTCAAGGAGAAGACATTTTAAATAGACAATTAACACAAAGAACACTACAAAGAAGTGGGGAAAGAAGGAAGGTTAAAAAGTTGAGACTTAAGAAGGCAATCAAAAGGGGGAATACCTGTGAAGTTGGGAAAGACAGAAAGACCCAGCAGAAAAGGGGAAAGGAAGATATTAAGAAAGAGAGGGATATAAACTGGAATGAGAAAAGATATGGGGAAAAGAGGGGGAGGAGAAGCAGTAAGAAACAGGCGCATGAAATAAAGAAATACAGAAATAGTAAAATGTTGAAAAGAAATTGTTTTTTCAGAGATAATGGTTGATGAATTAAAAAGGGGATTCTGCAGGGTGACAAGGGGTAATAAGAATATTTCTGCAATTAAAAATATTTAGAAAATAGGGTAATATAGATATTGATAACTCTTATTAAAAATTAAGGGAAAATATGCTGCGGAATCTAAATGAAAAGATGTAATGATTATTATTGTAACTTCTTAAAAATAATGGTTTATTGGGAATCAAGATGAGGGAATAAACGTATATTTTAACCACTGAGGTGTCACACTCAAAGCAGTAAAGGGGGGGAAACCTATACTTGTTTTTTTCTTTAGTGTTAAAACTTGTATTAATTTAGAATTTATAAAAAGAATGCGTAATGGAAAGGGAATATGACAGACTAAAGAGCCAACTAAATTAATAAGTCAATATAGACTATTAAAAGCAAGGAGAGACATTGGCAACCTATTATTATTATTATTATTATTAGGCAAACACATATTGTTTATCTTTATTTTCAAAATAAATATTAAAGGATTATATTTGAAATAATTGAAATGAAACAAAAAGATGTTTCGATTGAGATTAATGAAAGAGGCTAGAATTAATGTGTTTGTTTCTCTCCTTACTGAAAATTTGGAATGGAAAAGGTAATAATAGAATTAAGTATGCATATATGAATGTATAATTGTTGTCATATTTGTAAAGGTGATGACCCGGAAATATATTGTCCACTAAAAAGAGATTTTTGTTTTTATGTGAAAAGCAATAAAATTTGTTTAAAAAAAAAAAAAAAGAAATCCCAAAGACAAGATCCAGCTAGAAAACCAAGGAGTTTATGAAATACCATGCAACAATTGCCCAGCCACATACATTGGACAAACCAACTGGAGAATAAATGCACGCATCACAGAACACAAAAACACAGTCAGAAAAGAAGAAAATACTTCCTCCCTCTTCCAGCACCTTAAAGCCACAGGACATGAAATTAATTTCGAAGGAACCAAATTAATATCCAACACTGAACACTCCAGCAAGAGAATAATCAGGGAAGCCATCGAAATAGAGAAACACCCCCATAACATGAATAAACGGGACGATACCTCCCGCCTACCAGACATCTGGAAACTAGCCCTCACCAACAAATGAGTCCCAGCCACGAAAACCAACACCAGACCCAAAACAACATGGGACACCACTGCCAATCCCCCTCATCAGACCCAGGCCCAAACCCATCCTATAAACGAAGGACAGCCACCATCCAGAAACCAGACCACGGCTGCTTCGCCAGCTGTCGCACCCCCCGACCCCAAAACCAAACAAGCTGACATACGCCAAGAACACAGACCCAGACCCCAAACTCGAAGCCAGACCAAAACCCAGAAGGCTACATCACAGCCACCCGCTCAGGATATCCACATCAAAAAACTCAGGAAATTACACCACAAGAACTCAAGAAGTTGCAACGCAGCAAACGACCCAGGAAATCACAGCACGAGACCAAGGATACCACAGCAATAAAACTCACAAGGTCACCACACAACCCATTACCCAAGCCATAACAACACAGGAGGCTAATGGAAAAAAGATCACGACAAAACAAATGACCCAGGAGATTAAAGCACAAGATCCAGGATATCTCCACAACAAAACTCACAAGGCCATCACACAGCCCATTATACCAACATCAACTCCATCAACCAATCAAGAGGTTGGCACAGCCAACCAGCCCAGCACACCAGCCCCCCCAACCAGTATTTATAGAGAGACGGCAGCTCCAATCACACACTGCTTGCACTGGCACAAAGCCGAAAGCACCAGCCTGAGGATGGCGAGTGGGACCTCACCGAAACGTCACCAAGATACTCTTAATCTTACACGGGAAAAGACCGGAACACACCTAGACCTACATACCTGTACACATGAAAATCTACGAAAACAAATTATATATAAGACAGGGTCTTATTTTAGGGGAAACACAGTAATATATAAATACATAATTTGGGCATCTGGCCACACGCTGAAATTCCTTCTGCCGGTGATGCCTGGCTTCATCTGTTTGTTTTTGTGGAGTTTGGACATTTTAAGGTTTGGATAGAACCAAAATCTTCAATATCTATCCATCCATCCATCCATCCATCCATCTATCTGTCGGAGTTGTGAGTGTACTACGTGTGTGTTGTGAATGCTGCCGCTGCCAAAATGTTCCAGGAGGTTGAGGAATTATTTTTTACAAAGAGATAAGCAACCTGTCCAAAACTTGGAATATGCAGCGAGAATAAGCCTTCAAACAGCAATCTGCTGATTTGAACTCAGTTCTCTCTGTTTTAAGCCAGGCTTTCTTCTCCCCAGTGGACTACAGGCTGCTTGTCTGACTCTTTGTGTCTGTCTGTCTGTCTGTCTGTCAGGACCTACACATACCCATTCTTCCAAGTCTCTTAAGATGGGGAGGGGGGGTGCTATAGAGCCCCTCCAGGGCTGAGTTGGGTGGTTAAGTTTAATAAATACTTTTTATTTATTCAATTTCTATAGCTGCCCAGCTCAATTACTCCAGGCAGCTTACAATTTTACAAATTAACAATGAAAATGCTGAAAACTTCCTAAAACATTTTTTTTTAAAAGCCCCAGAAATTATTAATATTGCTCATTTTAGGGACCCCCCCCTCCCAAAAAAAAATGCTGGTGCCACCAAAGCTGGGAAAAATCAGCTTTGAACAAGAGAGCCAGCCTTTCAGAGCCCCCAGGAGCTACTTTGAATAACCCTTGGCTGCTTGGAAACGTTCCCTTCTTTCAGAGAAAATCTTTTATTGTTTTTTTAAGAAGTTTGAAATCCTTGGAGGAGAAGCAAGTGGGGCTGGGGAAGCTGTCTGGACTGCAAGCTCTCTGTCCCGTCCCCGTCCCCAGTCCTATTGTGGGGTGGTAGACAAGATGGCCCCAGACACGTATTTCCCAACCTCATGAACTTTTTAAGATGTGTCAACTGCTGAAATGCCTGAAAAGTATATTCATTATGGAATTTATTTGCTGACTTTTTATCTCCTATCCAAAGATTCTGGGGGGGGGGGGGGGGGGGGGGGGCGCCACAAAAAACACATCTAAAAAAAAAAACAAAACCACCCCTCCAACAAACAAAACACCAAACACC